GTCTGACTGTGGCATTTCTTTTAAAAGTCCTTTATGTGATGTCGCCCAGGCGTTCGACTGTGGCATTTCTTTTAAGCCCTTTATGTGGTGTCGCTTAGACGCCCGACTGCGGCATGCTTTTTATTTATTTACCTTTCGAGGCGTCGCTCCAGACACCTGATCGGTTTTTTAGCTATTTATTTTATTTATTAAGTCTTGCAAATCTTACCATTGTTATATGAGCATCATCCTTTATTCATGACGCATTCATGCATTCATTGATTATATCTTTTGTCCGAACTGTCTTGCGAGTACTTTCAAGTACTCACCTGGCTTGTTGATTTGGTCAGATGCTGATGAAGGTGATCTCTTGGATGAAGAGTTTGATAGCGAGTCCGACGCCTAGAGGAGTCCCAGTCAGTCCCGTGCGATCCTGTCTTGGTCATTGTATTATCTGCTTCCGCAACCCCGAATAAATTCATCGAGCCTCACCTCGATGCTCGATGTACTGCCAGTAGAAGTCAAGTTATCCACCACCACTTTTCCCTCGAGCTAGTAGCATGCCACCCTATCCCGTGTCATATCCGCCCATATGTATTATATTGGCGAGTTTGTAATAAATTGTTGAGCAACCTCAGCTCAACCCTGTAATATATTTGATGCTACTGGTTCTCTGTTTATCAAGCTTTGTCTACCAGAAAGGATGACTTTTCCTATACTGGGATTTAAAGATTGGTTTTCTCAATAAATATTTTTATTGAAAAACCGGTCATGACACCGCTATATGCAGGCACCGACGGGCCGGGGGGTGGGGGGCGCGTATTCGCGTGTTGGGATCAAGCTTTTGCCGCACCCCTCAAATTTTTTTGCGGATCACCGCGTTTGCGAGGTCTGATCGGACAGGATTTTCCGCGCCGACCCGCATTTTGTGGTTATTTTGTAGGTCGTGTTTTTTTCGGGATCTACTAGAGTTGCTCTTACACTACAACCACAATTAAACTACACTAAACTCGTATACTACAATCTTACATTAAAAATTCTACACATTAGAACTACACACTACCTAGAACTCATCGGCAGCGGCGGCGACAGCGAGGGGGCGTTGCAGGGGGAGACATTAGAGACAGCGGTGGAGAAGATGGCAACGGAGATGACGGGGCAGGTGGGTCCTTGGCAGCATCGATGCAGGCAGAGGCGACGGCAGCGGAGAAGAAGAAGAAGACGACGGTGGAGGCGGCGATGGAGATGGTGGCAGTGGCTGTTGTCGTTGGGTCGAGGCATTATCGCGTCCGAAAAATACCCTTTTAATTAAATTCTGAACATTCTAGTCCTATGTTTTAAGGGATATGTTTCCACTAAAGTGATTTTTTTCTATGTTTCAGACTTTTTTTAGGG